CGCTAATATAGAGGGACTATATGCTCCAATGAGGAATTCAATGATATCGAGTGGGGTACATATAATACATTTTTTCATATGAAAAATTATGGGGAGATACTGTAAACATACTGTTGTGATACTGTTAAGCATATGAATTTATAGCAAGTTGGATTTTCATACATCTTCCCATAAAAAGTTTAACAGATGCAGAGATACCAAGGAGGTGTTTTCCCATTTCGATGCCTTTTTAATATAAAAACCCACCGAAAAGGAGGAAAGCGGCAACTCCGCTATTCACATACACGTCAAAAGTATGAATTTTAAAAATTAAAAACAATAAACAAACAAATTCAAAACAATGAAATTCTTTGTACTAGAACTTTTTAAATAGAAGCAACTCACGTATAGTATACAATAAAAATACAAAGCTCTATGACAACAATCTTAAAAACAAGACATTACAGAACATTTTAATGAGCTTTATATCACATTTAATTAAAAACAAACCCATATTTTCTAAGCTGGCAAAGAAATGAAAATGTGTATTTTTTTGTTGTTTACACAAAGACTTGCCAAATATACATTTAAGTCAAAATTATAGAAGGCATGTATGAATACTCCTCCCTTTAATTTTTTCGTACAGTTTATGCTTATTTCTGGCTTGTACAAAATGCAGGGATACCGCACTTATTTTGGTACAATATGATCGTAGTGTATTTTCAATTCGAAATCAAAGAAATACATCCCACGAAAATGTTTGCGATTTTAAAACAATTAGTGGATATTTTCAAACTACTGCAAAGAATGGAGTGTCATATCTTAAAAGGTTCAGAGAATTAACGAAACAAACAAACATTTTATGGTCTCATGTTTCCTTCAAACCGCATTGCTATTTTTTTTTCTAACTTTTCCTTTTGGTTAGCGCTGTAACTGATTAAGTTATATCTTTTAATTTATACATGTGAACTATTTTTTCATTTGCTCGTGAATTTTGGGTAGATTTTCTTATAGTACCTCTCATTTTTTTATATTACATATATACACTCCGATGTTCGGGATAGTATTTTGAATATACTAGCAATATATGTAAATCTAGCGGCGGCTGCTATAGAGCATTACGCTGAGCCCATTTCCCCACCAACATCAAAATATAAAAAACAAAAAAGTTTTTTTTTCTAATAGCGGTTGCCCCTCTGTTGGTAATAGGAAACCTCCGAGTGTATTCTGTCATGAAAACAGTTTCTCATAAAAATACAATTGCCGTTCGGAGTCGACGTAAAACTGTCCTTTACTTTGTGTGACAAAATGAAGCACCCCACATATCGGAGGAGAAGCTAGGCCAAACACTAACATATTCTGCCTTATCCTGAGCTTCGCCTGAAAAAAAAATTTACCCGAAAATTTGTCAACCGCCCATAGCAAAACCACGGAAACCAAAAGTGAAAAGTGAATCGGTTTGGTGAAAATGAATCTCATGATAAGGCTGATTGTGTAAGCGCCAATATGTATATCGTCGTTTAAAGTACAAAAGCGCGCGAAGATATTTGGTCACCGGAAAATTTTTTAGTTTGTTGTTTACAAAAAAATTATTGCCAAGTATGTAAGTTAAAATTGTTAAATGTATGTCACTTTCATTAATTTCTTCATAGAGTTGGTGCTTCTTTTATAGGAAAATTCATACGGCTTATGAACAGATTCATACTATGTAAACGCACCGTTATATTCCATTCAGGGCAGCATTTAAATCAACAATTACAATATATTTACACACACAAGCATAGATTATTTAATACAATACATTTTAGAGTTATATATGTACATAAAAGCACTTAAATTACTTTTTTTGATATACAGGGTGTCCCAGAAGTAACGTGCCAAACTTTAGGGGAAGGTGGGTGGGGGGGGTGAGCTCACTGATAAACAAAAAATTTTCAGGTAAAAGTGTCACCGTTTTACATTTATTTACATTTTTTCGAATTTAAAAAAAATCGTGCCTTTTCATGTGTTTTCTTTAACTGCAACTACAAACCGGGCAATACTTAGTAAATGTTTCATGTAAAATACTTCCAGATAGTTGCCTCTCCATACTCAAATGCAATGTAGTCAAAATATATTAAGGAACCGTCATAAAATTAGGACTATTTCTGGATTTTTAACTTTTTGATATTTTTTCCCCCAACTTTGACTATCTCGGCTGAAAAAAAAATGTACTGAGCTATAACTTTACATTACACAAAAAAATTGTTCATTTCATAAAGATTTCCGAAAGGTGCCACACTTACTGTTTCGAATAGAAAAAAAAGTTATAGCCGCTTTTGTGGGTAAAGGACTGAGACACGCTAGAATGTATTTAATAGATTTAAATTGAATTTCCTCTTGTTACCGTCAAATGACATGCTAAATAGTACAAAGGTACATAATTACTTGCTTCTGACATTATTTTATGTTACTTACCGGAATTCGGACTAGAGTCTATAACGAGGGCTATATCTATCAATATTTTTGTGAAGGATGGGTTCACGTGAAATAAGATATACATGAGTTGTTTGAAGAAAAATTTATTCATTTATTGACAAAATATGCTCAAATTGGCGACCTTCTACTCTAATACAAGCTCGGCACCTTTTAAGAAAAGACGCTTTTAGAGATCTTAAACTCAATTGGGCTATCTCAGCAGCAGCTCCATTTATTTGTTCCCGCAAATGCTCTTCGTTTTGAATTGTTTTTGAATAAATTTTGTCCTTAAGACAGCCCCAGTAGAAAAAATGTAATGGATTCAGGTCTGGCGATCGAGCGGGCCACGTGATTGGCCCGTATCGTCCAATCCATCGGCGAAGATAAGTTTCGTCTAAATGAGCTCTTACTTCACGCCCGTAGTGAGCAGGGCACCCGCCATTTTGCAGCCATAGTCTTCGCCGCAGGTTTAAGGGTACATCTTCTAAAAGAGTTGGAAGCCGTTCCTGAAGGAACTCTAAATAACTGTGAGAGTTGAGCGTTGGCGGCAGTTCCACAGGTCCCAATATCTGACAATTAAAAATACCGCACCATAGATTTATTTTGTACCGGTACTGCGAACGATCTTCTCTCATTTCGTGAGGATTGTCTATCTGCCAACTGTGAAGGTTATGTAAATTAAAATAACCATCACGTTTGCAGGATGATTCATCGCTCCAAGTTATTTTATTAAAAAAGTTGGGGTCTGATTCATGCATTCGCAACATTTCACGGCAAAATCTAACTCTCGACAGGTAATCTCTTTCTTGTAGAGCCTGAACACGTTGAATGTGGTATGGATGAAATCGATGGTCTTGTAAAGCTTTGTGAACTGTAGTTTTTGGTATTCCCGTCCGTCTTTCCATCATTCTCACTGAAGTCGATGGACCTAGTTCCACTTCCTCTAACACAGCTTCAACATCTACCGTTGCAGGACGTCCTGTTTCGCCGCCACGTCTTCCAGGTATGCGACCTTAAAAAAGTGAAAAATCATAGTTAACAAGCAAGCAAACAAGAAAGGTGTAAAAATCACTTACCTTCATATATTTCTCTATGGGTCCGGGCGAATACTTCACGACCCGGATGTCGACGATTGGGGTATCGCTCTGCATAGAGTCTTTGAGCAGCTCTGGCATTACAGCAAGCTTCATCGTAAATTAGGTGAATATCCGCATATTCATACGACGTATACTGCGTGTTCTCTGTCATAGTATTAATAACACAATGTTCGAAGGGTCCAATTTCACAAAATCCACTTTCACTAATTCCGGTAAGTAACACAAAATAATGTCAGGAGCAGGTAATAATGTACCTTTGTACTATTTAGCATGTCATTTGACGGTAACAAGAGCAAATTCAATTTAAATCTATTAAATACATTCTAGCGCGTCTCAGTCCTTTACCCACAAAAGCGGCTATAACTTTTTTTTCTATTCGAAGCAGTAAGTGTGGCACCTTTCTGAAATCTTTATGAAATGGGCAATTTTTTTGTGTAATGTAAAGTTATAGCTCAGTACATTTTTTTTTCACCCGAGATAGTCAAAGTTGGGGAAGAAAATTTCAAAAAGTTAAAAATCCAGAAATAGTCCAAATTTTATGATGGTTCCTTAATATATTTTAACTACATTGCATTTGAGTATGGAGAGGCAACTATCTGGAAGTATTTTACATAAAAAATTTACTAAGTATTGCCCGGTTTGTAGTTGCAGTTAAAGAAAACACATGAAAAGGCACGATTTTTTTTTTAAATTCGAAAAAATGTAAATATTTCAAAAACGGTGGCACTTTTACCTGAAAATTTTTTGTTAATCAGTGAGTTCACCCCCCCACCTACCTGCCCCTAAAGTTTGGCACGTTACTTCTGGGACACCCTGTATAATATTCCCCTTTTGAACTTTGACTACTAGAATAAAACACTGTATAATGTTCTAATAATTTACAACATTTTTAATAAGTAAAAAAAACGATGACTTAAATAGATTATAGCTTTTTTAATGTTATTCCTAACATTCGCATTGTCAACATTCGCGTTCGCGAATATGAAAAATATGACATTCGAAACATCCCTAGTATATACATATCTGCATGTGCACATATAATCCCTCGAAACTCTTACATACATTTTTTACATTACATAAATTTTTTCTGACCAAACAATCCATTGCCTCGCTCGTCTGTTGCTGCAAATGAGTGCCTCGCTCGCAGCGACGCCCTCGCGAGGGCAGAGCTAATGAAGTCCTCGCTTGCTTGCCGCTCTACTCTTGCGCTGCCCTCGCTTGCTTACTCGCTCTCTGGCTGCTCAGCGCGTGCGCTCGTACTTAAAGAGTGCTCGTTTGCAAACAGACTCACCTGTTGCTCGTGAGTTGCGCAAGCTCAGAGCAAACTAACGAGCGAGCGAGGGGCTAAAATGAGGCAAATCCGAATCCTGGTTTGTATATACAATTTTTAATATGGTTGTTGAACCTTGGCCTTTTTTAACATTGACTGATTTGTATAAAACGGGCACAAACCGATCAAGAGCTAACGTTTTCTTCAATGAAGTTAATTTGCTCATTACTAGATATTAAGTTGCGGATACATCCCCAGTCAATTTCCTCCACAGCTACTTCAAGATGCTTATAATCTATAGTAGCAATAAGAATAGGATTTAGTTTAAAAATTAAATCGTGCTTAGAGAAACTTGGAACAGAAAGCTGGTCAAATAAGAGAATCTTTGTGATGTCATTAACAAAAAATATATCTAGATAAATACTATAAAAAAAACTTTTTAATATACAACGCTTTTATAAATGGACTAAAAAGTAGAAAATAATACTTCTCAGTCCCATAGAATTTGTTTTGATAACTTTTGATTTTGTAATTTTAGCAAAAGTCATTATAAACAATCTATGAAATTGAAAATGAAAAACGTGGAGCGCATGCAATACAAAGCATTCGATTTAATTGACAATAGTCAAACTACATAACGTAGACCTAAAATTTCTACAGCGAAAGTAGAACTTTGAAATCGATTCTAAGCGGTCGTTATTCATATACCCACATACATACATTCATATATTACTTTTCATATCAATTCAAGTGTATTACATGCTCCCCACGCTTTTCATTTTCAATTTCATAGATTGTTTATAATGACTTTTGCTAAAATTACAAAATCAAAAGTTATCAAAACAAATTCTATGGGACTGAGAAGTATTATTTTCTACTTTTTAGTCCATTTATAAAAGCGTTGTATATTAAAAAGTTTTTTTTATATTATTTATTTTCTACTTTTTAGTCCTGTCTGAATAAAATTTTGCAATAGATATTAAAATAATTCAACGATATTAATAGAAAGGTGCACACACATGCATTTACATATGTATGTACATACAAACGAGCACCAATTAATTTTATTTAAAGAAATGGCGTGTCGTCTATTTCCGCCGATATGCGTGTATAAACCCTCCTCAAAGTCTAGCCAAAAAGCCAGCAACTCACACAACAGGTTCCCCAGAGCAATTCGCTCGAGAAAGTGGTACCCGGTACACGTAATACGCGGCACACAGCACAACAATCCGCCAAAACAGGCAACCCGGCCCAAAATTACCACCGTAGAAGGCAGAAACCCCGAGCGGCAGTGCAGGAGCCCAAGAATTACCCTTAAAACGGCCACAGGAGCTTAAAAAGACCAACTGGTCCCCAACTGGCCCGAAGGTAAGTAGTTTCGGACTAGTCCCAAACTAGTTCCCAACTGGTTCCCGGACTGGTCCCCGACTGGTTACCAACTGGTCCCACAAACTAGTTACCAACTGGTCCCAAAGTGGCTACCAACTGGTCCACCTATACCTCAAGTGGACCACAAGTCACTTCACTTACAAAGCATTCGATTTAGTTGACAATAGTCACATGCATTTACATATGTATGTACATACAAACGAGGACCAATTAATTTTATTTAAAGAAATGGCTATTTCCGGTGTAGCAAACGTAGTACATAGGGCGACATCTAGATGTCATCTACCTCGCCCTATTCACTATGCTTTTTTATAGGAGCTTTTCAGAGCTTTGCTTTATGGTGTCGGACACACAACATTGAAAGTTTCTGGAACACAACATTGAAAGCTTCTGGAACACAACATTGCAAGTTGATAAAAGCGTTGTAAAAAGAGCTACTAGTTTGCGTGAAGTGTGTAGGCATTCAACCATTAGCAGGGAATAAGCCCAAGTTTTGCATGGCTAGCGCGAACTTACTTTCACATAGCAGGTCGCTTTTAAAATCCCCTGCTATAACAATGTTATTATAATTAAGACACAAGTTTTCAATGAAGTCAACAAATGGTGCGTAGGCAATGTGCCTGTTGGGTCTATATACGCAACCAATAAGGATTTTATCATACTTCATTTAATCATTTATTTCAATGAAAAGGTATCCTATTAAGTTGGCATTACCTGACTTACACTTAGGAGAACAAGACAGACTACGTTTGACAAACACTGCAACGCCACCACCACGCTTGGCTCTATCTAAACGGAAAATTGTATAAGCATTAACACAAAACGAATCATTATTATGCCATGTAGAGAACCATGTTTCAGATACACCCACAAATTCTATATCAGAAGACTCAAATATATATCTTAATTCGTCAATTTTAGATGGTCGACTCTGAGCATTAAGATGACATATCTTCAATCCAGATTTTAACTTAATTAGGACGCGAATCATATTAAAAGTGCTATCTCTGCCCTTGGAAAAGTATTTATCTTTACCCATCATTGGCAAAACAAGTAAAGAAGAGAACATTATGCTTAAAACCACGTACAAGGCGATTATTACCAAACATGAAAAAAACTACAGTTAAAACAAGATTTAAGAGAAAGCTTAAGTAGCGGAAAAAGAGAACATGAGAAGAAGAGGGGAATAAATAGAAGAGGATAAAATTAATTTTTAATAATCTAAACAATGGGATAAAAATAAAGTACTTAAAACTAAAAAGTCACTTGTCGCTTGCGAATATAGATACAATTGCCTCTTTGGTAAGTAACTTGACAGCTGCTCTACCCGATAGCACACGAACATATACATCGCCCCTAAGAGAATACGCAGCTGATCAACGTCCTTGGTTTATCAGCAGTATCGCAAACTGCATAATTTCTCGATTATCTTTCGTAAGGCATTCGTTTATATATGGGTGTTTCCAGCGGAAGGTCCACCACGACAAAAAAAATAAAAGTTTTATATCTAACGTATTTACGGGCCGATTTGTCTGCTTTTTAAAATATATACTGGTTATGTAAGAAGAATAATGTTTGCATAAATTGGTCTTCCTAGGTGGTGCCAAGGTCGAGATATTTCGAAAAACCGTATTTATGGTCCGATTTGGTTCGAATTTGGCGCATGTGGTTGAAACATAATAAATCATAGATTTCTAATAAATTGACCCTGAATTGGCGCTGAAGTCAAAATATAAAGTATATTCTACATAAAATACATGTTTTATTTGCGTTGAAAATTCATTTAAAAGCAATATTAACAAAAATATAACGATGGAAATTTATGTCACGTCACGCCACGTCACGTCACGTTTCACACTTGGGGTTGTAAAAGAGAATTGAAACAATTTGCATTAATTCAAAAAACTCTAAAAACAACTAGAATTACTCCAAATCATATCAAAATAAGTTTCATCAAAATAGCCATCCACAATTCGCAGAGTTTTGCGATTTTGTAAGAAAAGAAAAAATCAACTTCCATTTTTTGTCACGTAACGAACCTCTCTTTAAATGCTGATATTTCAGGACCAAGCAGTTCGATTGATTTAATTTTTCGGTTAAATATAGAGCTAATTACGTACTGTACAATGGCCCAAAAAAGTTAAAGAAAACAAATGGTATTCCTTTTTTGTATCACATTGAAATCGTACGACTGTCACGTGCGCCACCATGGGAATGCCCATATACATACATTCTCATCAGTTATGCCTCCAATATCTCGTAGCTGAAAACATTTCTTTTTGGTTTTTTTTAAATTTGGCAGCAGCTTTCAATAGGAGAGACCGATCAAATAGGGAGTGCAATTTGAATATAAGAGGCGCAGGTTTAGTGTTGTCTTTCTCACTGCGGACACGAAAAGCTGCGCGAACAGGGGGAGCATTTACTTCCATCGCTTTGCAAAGCTTTCCAAAGATGTCGCTCACGTTCTCGTTTTTATCATTTGGTATCCCACTAACAATGATGTCTGCTGAAATATTGTTTTTTGCCATGACGGCGAGATTAGCTTTGAGCTCACACATCTCTTTACGTAGCTGCTCAAGATTCGCACATTCACTCTCAACTTTCACAAGCCTCACCGCAAAGTCTGGCTGACTTCCAAAACGTCAATTGCTTTGTATACGTACAAAGTATAAGGTTCCATAACGTCGAACTACAAAATATTGACAATGTATACTGTTCCAAAACGCAGCCGATTAGTTATCGGAACGTATCGCTTGAGTAATCAGCGCATCAGAAACAAAGTTGGTGCTTCGTTTGTTATTGGTTACCATTGGTGTTTTAAATATGGAAAATTCAGAAAAAATTTTCATTGCTATATAGAATATTTTAAATATGCAATGTATATGGTTGCAATGTGTCGCAACTCTGCATATACAAACAGTTTGAATACCGCAGTATAACAGTTTCCAAACATTGTATTGATAAGTTTTGGAAGTCAGCCTCTTTCATACTCCCCTTAAACGAAATCTGTATTTCTATAAATTATTTTTGAAGTGAAACTTCTTAGGCAGCGGTATCGGAAAAATGGAGAGTGAAATTTTTAAAACTGAAAACGTTACATGAGTGAGAAGGAAGATATAGGTAGTATAGGGAAGGAGAAGAAATAAAGCGACGCATGATGGGTACGAGTACCTACATATGTATATATGTATGTTTGAATGCACGTGTGTATGTATACATATATACATGTGACAAGTGAAGTGAATTGGACGCATAAAATTTTAACTCCTTGTTTTCAGTAATCAGAAAAGCGGCGATTTGTTACGTTAAAGTGTGTTCGCAGTGAAGAAAACTGCCTGCAGCAGTGAAAGACAGTGTCACAAACGTAGCGGAGTCAAGATAAGTACTTTATAGATTTATATTTATTTATTTATTTATTTATTTGGTCTACAGAAAAATGTTTTCTTGCAGACAAATGAGAATAGAACATTTAGATATTTAAGTATTTGTGATATATTACAGAATAGACTAATTATACATTTTAATTTATAATAAAAATAATAATAATAATAATAATAATAATAACATAAAATAGTAGGTTTGGTAGCTGGCGAGGCCTAGTCTTCAGTCTACTTTTGTGTGCGGCGGGCGCTGCGGACAGGCTGTTGATCAAGGTCGGTAAGTCCGGGTTTCTGATCCATGCTCCCGAAGACATTACTTCGTATGCGTGGCAGGCGGAAAGCTCTGGTTTCCGCTCCGCGCTATGAACAAGCTGTTGATCATGGTCGGAAAGAACGAGTTTCCGATCCATGTTCCCGAAGTCTTTACTTTGAATGTGTGGCAGGCGGAAAGCTCTAGTTTCCGCTCCGCACTGTGGACAAGCTGTTCAGCATGGTCGGAAAGAACGAGTTTCCGATCCATGTTCCC